ATTGTTCACAAACATAGCAGCAGCAGTAGGCTTGTTCCCGTTGTTCTTAGAGTTGTAATCTTGATATTTAGAGTCTTGTTGATTATTCCCACTCGACTTAGACGTGCTTTCGCTCATTTCTCTTGCTTCGATTTCAAGTTTTATCGTAGTAAGTAATTCATCGATCTTCCAAGCTTCTTTGGTAGCCTTTCGTGCGATCTGCAGGCGAATATCGCTTGGCAACTTTGACATTATAATCGGTATCAATAGGCTGCCATATTGTTCCGAGGAAACGCCCAATGAAGCTAGACCACGTACATGCACGCTAATTTTGTCATAGACGTATCTTAAGGAAGATAGTTTCTCTCCTGTGCAAGCTTGTACTTTAAGTATTTCATCCATATGGGCCGCAATGACCTGTTGTGGTCTTCCAAAACGGTCCTGGAGAATTTCTACAGCGGCGTCATAATTCGCGTTCGTAAGATTAAGCCTTTGAATAGCGCGTAGTGCAGTTCCCTCGAGTAAAGAACTCAAATAATTAAACTTATCGACCTTCGTAATAGCATCATTTTTATATATCGTAGATTCGTACGAGTCCCAAAACGTATTCCATTTTGTTACGTCACCTTTAAGTTTCGGCAAGGTCAGCTTCGGTAATTTCGGTTTAACATTCGTTGTTGTACTTGTTGTCGCTGTCGGTTGAGACGTGTTCGTGTTTACTTCGCTTTGACTCGCACTATTTGATTGTTCGCCACTGTCAATAATCGTGCTGTTCGTTGAATTATCATTCCCATAGTCTAGTTCTTGATTCGGTGATAAATGACTCGGTTGGACGTTATTCTTTTCGTTGATCACTTTCGAAATTCCAGGCTTTAATGCATTTTCGAGTTTCCTTTTAGTGGTTAATATTCTAGAGACAACTTCCGCCGATTCTTCGATTTCTTGTTCGATATCTTTTACATCGCATAATCCTAAAATCTCTTCGTCAATTTCGCTTAGAATTTTTAATTTCTCTTCGAGTAAAGATCGGATAATTTCGCATCGATCGCATCAACATCGCCGGGTAAATGTAGGAGGTCGTCCGCTTCTTTCGCTAATTTAGTACAGACACCACGATGTTCGCCTCGCTTCGCTCTCAATCGGTCTAAATTCTCTTTCGATTCGGTCATAATTTCGCTTGGATTCAACTTGTTATGTTTTCAAGTTGCCCCACGTTGGGCGCCATGTAATAAATATCGTAAATCGCTTATAAATCGCTCGTAATTCGCTCGTAAATCGCTATGAACTCCTTAAACAACAGTGAAACAATATATTATACTCGAAACAATACAAAATTACAATAACAAAGCAATTACGTACATGATTGACAGTTAATACAACCTATTTATAGCTAATTATAGCATAATGTCTCTGTCTGCTAATGTAAACGATATATTAAAATGTTAATAATTACTCTGTTCATAACACAGTGCAAATTCCATATTTCACAAATTTATAGTGGGTTAACGTTGAGATTTTAGATTAGATGAAAATAGGTAACTGTCAAGCTCCATTTCCTGTAATACGCTAACCACTACTCAAACTAGTGTTGGTAAATAAACAGTAAAATTTAAGAATCATTGTTAAAGCCATTTGAGCATGTCAGTTGGTATAGAAACATCATGTCTTTACATGGTAGTTTAATGGTACTGCAAATGCTGAGCTATAAAAGCACAAATTGTACGCACACATACACTGAAGAAATCAGTACTTAATACTGTATCTTGTTACTGACGTAAGCATTTTTGTATGCTGGCCCACGTTACCCGGTCAAACGCTTCCAAAAATATCAAGATTAATTGTTAGTTAAAGTGTCCATGATCATATCCTCACGAAATCTTCGCATGATTTGGTTTCGCCTTGTGCTGCATGTATGCAATTAAACTAACTCATTTCTATTACCATGATATCTTTAAGAAACAGTATAAATGAAATATTCGTAGATTACAACTGAAAATGACGATGTATAACCAGGGCGCTATAAAACACGGGCGGTGAAACGGAGATAGCGCCCCTGATCTTTGTGTGATGCGCGTACCCCCCGTATACATTAATTTATAATGTCAATAAAAATGGAATTGGAATGTTTATGCAAAAAAGAGCTGAAAAAACTAAAGTAAAAAATGTTTTCTGCATATTCCTAAACAACTTGATGGTTTGAAGACATTGTTGGATTCATTTTCTGTATATCTAATGAAGGAAAAAGGGTTTTAAAGATTCATCATGAGCGAAATAAAAATTTGAAAAGGAATCGAGCTGATCGAATGTGGGCATATTCCAAATACGAAAATTTTGGTATGAAATGGGATATTTTACTTCATAATGCGAAGGTAGGATAAACATTTTCACAGTAAGAATATTCCGACATTGCTTGGCTACTATTTTTCGATAATCGTATAGCCCAAAATTGACCATGCATGCATTTAAAACAACTACAATTTGATAAAAACAACTACAATTTGCTCGACAATTTGAAAACTTAAATATATAACCGTTTTTGTGTTAACCAGCCGGCATGCTCGGAACCATTGAAAGTTCATTGTAAAATGTTTTTTACTAATTGATTTGATTTCTATTATTGGTATAACTGCCGCCGACACTCCAAAAATATTCATTCAGCGTGAATCTTTTTTCGTGCGACTGCAGTCGTTGA